CAATGTGTGCAGTGATGCATACTATGTTGTAAATGTGCAACATTGCATATCAGTTACAATAATACTTTAGTTTTATATCGCGTCGTTTATGGCAACAGAATCTCACAACGCTGTACATTAATTATACATAAGGACCCATATACGCGGTTGGCTACGCACGGTGCGAAAGAAGCCCAGCACACACGCATACATAGCAAGCAAATGAACACACTATTACCAAACAAAATAAAAAAATGAATAAACGAATTAATAAATTGCACCAGGACAAAAAACCACAATCAACAAAAAAATGAATCAAACAAAAAGATGAATTATATATGAAAATTCAGCATCAATCGCTTCACAATTTCGACATTCTTACAGGTGTTCAAGGAATAAGTGCCTGGCATCAGCTGACAGTGGATGACTGGGTCTCCGCTGGTGTCTCACCGGCCTGGGTGCACAAGCAACGATGGCAAGGCGCTGCTGCCCGTGGCGTCGGGCCTGCAGGGCGGTGCCCTCTGGCACCGCATGCCACAGACGAGATGCCCTGCTGTTCCGAGGTCGAAAATTCTGCAAAAACCACCGTGATGGCACCTGACGTCCTGCCCCTCCAAACGCACCAGACCACGAAGACCAGGGCCAGCACTGGGGCCACCAATGTGGCCCTGCGACGGGCAGACAACGACACTTTTATTTTTTATTTTACCAGGTAAGGCCCACGGAGCTATATAGCTCTTTTTAAAAAGTGACCAGGCCACAAATGTTAGCCCAATTAATTGGCTTATCAAGTGGACATTTTATTGCAGCTAAATACTCTAAAATGCACGTTTATAAATCTGGATGGAAAACCCGGAGGACCCGGAGAAAAATCCACGCGACCACGGGGAGAGAGACACCGCGAACTTCCAAATATACAGGCCTCAAGAGTCGGGATTGACCCCACGACCTCCTCTATACCAGGCGAGGTAGTTAACATCTCACTACCGCGGCGCCCGGTGTGATGGATACACGTGAGCGCTCACGGGCGATGAGAGACATTTGCACTGAGATCAGCATGACTCGGCGCGGGAGTCCACGGAAACGTGGAAAGTTGGTGTGACTTGGTAGCAGCGTTTTTGATCCCATGAGTTGCATCTGTGAGCAGATGCGTTCATTTACCCTCCTGAGATGTTTAATCCGACGCCTAATTAAGCGTGTCTCTGGCATCGTCACTTGGCTGTTTAGGCACCGAAGCGAATGTAATGCGAGCAATCGCAGACGGGGATTTTATAACGAGCCGAGTTCAGGTAAATCTGCGCCTTCGAACCGCTAATGTCTGAAGTCACATAATCGAGGCTTGTCGTATGCAGGTTGTAGAACATGGAGACTAAGTCTCTCCCACTTATCAAACAATCCCAAACACAACTGAAAATCAAAACACTTACCAGTTGTAGGAAAAACACTCGAACACTTTCACCAGCATGCTGGTGCTCGGTTACACAAATGCTCGGACTTAAACCAAGCGTGGACATGAACATATGCACTCCGTCTTGCTGTGCGCAGCCAGGATATGCTCCACGAACGGTGCTCTCTACATGATGCATTCGTGTTCGTTAGAATAAGCTGCAGCCCAAATGTGACCGTGTAACAAGCGCGTCGCCAAATGACGGCACCAGTGTTAAACATTTACTCGAGTTGATGCTGTTAATTCACGTGGCGACAAATGGGTGATTGTAATATTCATGCTATTCGTTGTTGTTGTTCTTGCCGTGCTAGCTACAGCACTTATGGGTCATTATTGCAAAGGTCATTATTGCACTGGTCACGCCTCGGACATTTGCAACTTGTATTATGCCCTCGTGCATGTTAACACGCGGTCAGGCTGGCTGCATAACATTTAAAACAAGTGGTTATATTTAAACTGCGCAGCGAAACGCGCCTTAGCCGTGCCGACATATATGTGTACAGGTACGGCGCTTATGTCAGTCCACCGCTGGATGACGGCCTCCCCACGGATCGTATAAGTTGTTTGACCATACTTCACCGCAACGGTTAGTGCGGGTTGGTGAAGGGGAGGGAGGGTGGAACTCGTTCAGATGTCACTCGTCGCTGATGTTTGCCGTGGCCTGGAATCAAACTCAGGTGACGGGTTCGTCGCGCAGGCTACTAACCACTGCACTACTTCAGTAATTAATGCATTCGTATTTAATGTATACATGTGTAGCATGTCGACCTCAAGAACTTTATACGATAGCAGTAATCACAAAGTGGGCAATGTACAGGGTGGTCAAGATGTATTGTGACCCACATTTAATTCCTAATACTTGATATTGTTTTTGAAGTAAGGTGTATTTGAAACATAAATTAACGTGCAAAGGGTACAGACACATTTCGGGGTCAAATAATTGTGGGGGGGGGGGGGGGTCACAAGATATATGGATCACTCGGTCTACGCACCACGTGCAGACACCACTGAGTATTTAATTATGATGACGCATGTGTCCCACACTGAGTGTGTGTGTATGTATTATTAGGACACATGTTTACCCAGGAAAGCCTTGGCTGAGTCTCATCCATCTTTTCCAGGAGGGTCCTTAGCAGTTATCGCTGTTGGGGGAGCGATGATTGCACGGTAGATTACAACTGAGCAGTCTGGTGCGAGGTGTTGGTGCAGCTTACAGCTCACAGCTGACGCATGCCCGACAGTGTGAAGCCGCTCCTCTTTGTACGGACAAAGCGACGAGCTGAGGCACCTGGGCAGTCCCCCCGTGTCTCGCTGGTTACCGGCACCACCGGCGAGAGGCGAGCATATCCCCTACAATTAGAGTTTAATTCATAATTAGATAGGCTATCTTTTTTTTCTTCCAATAGCAGCAGCTGTCAGTTGCTCACATTTGAAACAAACTCAGCAAAAGGGGAAGTAACCGACGTTGCTGAGTTTATTGGATTTGTTACGCGGGTGATCCCGTTTTGCCAGTTTCCCGGGGGAGATCCGCCGTGCGTGATCACAGTAGCAGCGGCAAAACCAAGAGGCAAAACAAAAATTAACCCGTAAAAACAAAGTTTTTCACTATAAATCCTTTATATGCGTGGCGGCTAGAGTCCTCTCGTCCTCTGGCTTGAGATGGCTGCCACCTATGGGTCAGATGATTGCCTGCCACCATTAAGCAATTGGTAATGAAATATAATTGTTTTTTTCCTAAAAAGTGTAAAATTTTGGAAAAAACGACCGAAAGATTTGCACGGTCGTAAGCGCGCAAGCAAGCAAGCAAGTGAACTTAATATAAAGGATTTAAAAACAACCCCGTCAACATCGAAACGCACGAGTAGAGCGTCCTGAAGGAATATTGTGCAACTAACACTCGGGGTATATTTTAACGGCTGCTGCTTGACAATGTGTTTCCTCCGTCTTCTTTGCACCGTTTTTTTAAATATTAAAAGCGGTTTGCTTTTAAAGGTGGCAGTCGTCCCAATGTAACCTTATCGCCTGCATGCATCACAGGACACTGAATACAATCGCGCATCACAACGCGGATTTGTATAATACACCTACACACAGGCAGTACTGTAAGATGCAATTTCCCGATTGCAGGAGCTGTGATTAGCACCAACACTCGATTTCTTAGCGATGATTATTATAAGATAATAATCAATTTATGCAGTATATCCGTGGGAACTCGAACGTCAACATTTTCCCATGGTTTAAATGCTTGGAACTTTTTCTCCCCCCCAACATCATATGGTGGTGAATACGCTTGTCCAAATACCGTGATCATTCATGCATGGTGAGAGTGGTGAAAGTTGAGAGTGGTTGAGGCCGCTGTGTGGCTGGTGTTGGGTTGCAGTTTCAACAGAAACCGTGCCCTCCAGCCCTGCCCCCCACAGATGACACCCCCCTCGACCCTCCCCCAGAATATGACATCACTGCCCCGCACAGATGATAGAACAATGCGGCCACCTGATGCACAAACAGGGCGTCAAAGATCCGGAGGCTCGCGTCTCCGGGCCACAAATCCCAAACCATCGGTCCACATCTCAAATACTCCGCTGCTGCTGCTGTCTTCACTTCTTCAAAGCAGGAATGGACGAGATCCACTCTGCGTCTGAACAGTTAAATTGAGTGGATAACAAATCTAAAATTGCATCTTTAATCCGCTCATATTAATTCATACGAAAGAAGAAGATGAGCTATAATATTGAGTTTTTGGGCAATTGCTATTATATATATTTTTTCATTTAAGGCAGTGTTTTTGAAGAATCTGTTGATTTGTGTCGTTGTTTTGTTGCTTGTGCGAGCAGCCAACTGGGTAATCGCCAAATAATTTGGTCAAAATTAAATTCACAAGCGCTGCCCTTCAGCGCTCTCTTGCGTCAAAGCCTGGGAGTGACGCAGATCGCGTGCCCAGAAGAGTCGCGATCAGCAGCAGCACGAGCGGCAGTGATTTGTCACGTGTGGGTGTCAACGGGACGAGACTCGTTATAACACAGCCGCCTTGTGTTGCCGTCGAGATATCATTTGAAACGAAACCGCCTCGTGTTCGTCAATTAGTGCTATCTTGTACAATGCCCATAGTTAGTCCCGGATGACGGCTCGCGTGTAACTCATTTGCGCATAAACGCTCACCCATTATCTGACTCGGCAAAAGTGCGCCAACCTTACTGAGCCACACGACGCCTCGATGTGTTCGAGTGGACGCATCCGCACGAGAACCCCAGCCACGAGACGGAGTATGCGGCGCAGGGAGAGAGAGGGATGAACTCCACCGCGGCAGAAGAGAACCCGGGAGCTGTCCACCCGCCCTTGGTGCTGAGAAAGCGCCTCGTGAGAGCGAGTCTGCCAGGAGAAAAACGTCGCTTGGATTGTGGCCCCCTGGGTGCGGTGTCCAACGGGATTAGTGACACTCTCGACGAGTGGGTCGTGATTCCATGGGTGAGAAGGTCACGGTCAACCTTCTTGGTGAGGGCACCCCCCTCCCCCTTGTCGGTGTGAGAAGTTCGTGACCCCGTGGGGGTAAGGACGTCGAGGTCCCTCGGGTGAAGGGTTCATGATCGCGATAATTAGGGGGACATGGCGCCCTAGGTAAGGGGGTCATGGTGCCTTAGGTAAAGGGGTCGTGGTGCCTTGGGGTCGTGGTTCTCGAGTTCAGGGGGTCGTGGCCCGCTCGGCTGTCGTCACTCGGCTCGCGTCTCTGGGAGGAGCCGGGCCAGTGTGGAGACTCCTCCTCGGCCCGGCCTCCCCCTCACCCCGCCCGGGCGGCGGCGCTCGCAGCCCAGGGGTTCCCCAGGTCGAGCTGAGAAGGAGCGAGGAGGAACGGAGGAGAGGAGCAGCGAGCAGGGAGAGAGGGACGAGAGGAGGCGGCTCTCCGCCTATGCCGACCACAGCGATGGTGGCGGCGCGGAGCGGCGCGCACCCGGTGCCTTGCGACTGGGTTCCCTGTCTCGACAAAAGGTACGCCTGGGGCAGGGTCGGGTGGACGTGGGGGGTGGGTGGGGGGCAGCGGTAGGCAAAGTCGGGTCAGGGCAGGGCCGGGTTAGACGGGGGGCAGAGGTTAGAGAGGAGCTGGGGCAGGGCCGGCCCCTCCCTGCCGCGCCCGCCGGGTGAGCGCGGAGACTCACACGGCAGGACAATGCATCGTGTAGCCGAGCGGCGGAGCCGGCTCCGGCGATCCGCTGCGTGCGGGTGGTGTCCTCAGCTGTGAGAGACAAAGGCGCGAGAGGGGGATGACGCGGTGATGCACGAGGAGACGGGGGCTCGTGATGAGGTACTGCACCCGTAGGGTCGTCTTTGTTCCGCTCTTGTCAGTCCACGTTGCCCGCAGACGGCTCCGACGTGAAGCGTGCTGATGGTGAGTGATGGTGGTGGTGGGGGTGACCACACGTGCGCTATGATGATGATGGTGGTGGTGGTGGCCGTAATTGTACATGAGACTTGAGATGGTGATGATGGTGGTTGTCAGAATGATCGCATGTAAGGCGTGTGTGGTGGTAGTTGTGGTGGTGGTGGTGGTGATAATGATGGTGATAATGATCGCACGTGTGATGTGTAATGATGATGGTGATGATGAATGACGGTGCTGATGATCGCACGTGAGACTAGGACATTAATGGTGATCACAACGCGAGAGGGACTCTGGCGATTATGTAAACCTTTTGTTATGGGTAGTGTGCAAAATAGACAATGGCCTGTAACAAGGAATGTTTAAACGGAATTATGCATCTCAACACGTACAAATACATTTTTTATGCTTGTATCTTATATTTTCAGTGTTGGTCATGCATAAAAGAAATGCAATTCATGAACATATTAAGACTCAAGTAAATGCATGTCATGATTCATTTGAGTGGTCTGAAATGATAACGAGCATGCAACTTGCATTCAATTTATGATGGTGTATTTTGCTTTGATTTAGAAATAATGACGTTTGCTATCAGTTGGCCTGTGTGCCAGTTTGAGATAACAGTTCCCAGGTAATTGCCACGACATTTATTATAATGAAAACTATATATATTGCGGACGTTAAAGGCCCAACCACGTTGTTATTCACAAGATTAGGCCATACTGTGTCATTGCCATAGTCAGAATCATGTCTGAAATATTATCTGCACATAAATTGTTGCAATGATAACAATTTGCAGCGATAACTGTCCCTGTGTGACTATTACCATCATCCAGGCCTTTCTTGTAAAGTATTTCATTTTAGTTGGCCCCTCACTTAGATACATAAAGAAAATTAATTACTCATCCGATTCAAAACGCTAGCCTTGATTTATACATTGTTAACCATCTCAGATGTGTTAACGCAGGCATTAAAACAGCCATTGGAAATTAACTACAAGTTAAGTTTCGATTTAAAGCTTTCGTGACTGCAGGGATTCATCTTCTTGTTTCTTTCGGTAAAGTCACGTAGAAGGGAAGTAATAAAATAATAAAAATAAAACATAATAAAACAATTCTCACGACGTTTCGGCTACAACGCAAGCAGCCGTCTTCAGGTGAAGACGGCTGCTTGCGTTGTAGCCGAAACCTCGTGAGAATTGTTTTATTATGTTTTATTTTTATTATTTTATTACTTCCCTTCTACGTGACTTTACCGAAAGAAACAAGAAGATACAAGTTAAGTTATTGATGAACTTAACAAAATTGGGCTAAACATAAAAATTATTTAAAAAAACTAATTCACGTTCCATAAATTCACTGAACAAAAGAATATATTTCTTGGAGAAACGCAACTGCAAAATACAGACGTCTACCTTAGGCGTTTATTAAAGGTAGCCCTGGAACAAATTATTAAATCAAGAGGCAAGCGAGAGCAGGGTGAAATGCTTATGGAAAACTGAACTTGATTATAAAAAGCCACATACTAATGTGTCTAAAAAGGAGCGTTTTCAATCACTGGACGTTACCTGTTACGATACGGATTGGAAGCATGAACACTGATAAAAAGAAAATGGGGGGGGGGGGGGGTGCTGAAAAATGTGGAAAGAAACGTGGATCGGTGCGTGTTTGTGAGATAGAAATAATAACTCGTCAATCGGAGAATCAATCCAAATAGGAGATGTGGACTTTGGCGGAACACATTGCGAGAAAGGATGATGGCCTGTGGTCACGACTAACGACAGAGGGGTAGACAAATGAGGGAACACACCCCCCCGAGATGGAGTGATGAGATCAGCTTGCGTACATGAGCGAGGTGGATTGTAGTATCGCAGGATCATGAAATACGGCATGGGTGGTGACGCCCAGCAGTGGACAGATCATGGCTATATATTATTTTTATATATGCTCTTTTTAAGAAAATGGCATATATACACACACATATGCTATTCGTATACATATATATGCTATTTTTAAATAGCATATATATATATACGGATACATTAAAATGCTAAAACAGAGTGTTTCCCATGCATTGCGCAGATTGCAAGGCAGGGGGGTCAGTGAAGGCACAGCTGGCCTTGGGTAAAGTGCTCAGTGCTGTCGAGTCCAGGGGGATGCATTCCGTACAGATGGCTCAGCAAGAATATTGGTAATTTCGTAACCAGTGTTGAAGCGTGGACCTCATTAGCCTGATCTTCTGTAAGTGGCACTAATGTTTTTTACGGGTGGCGGTTTAAAAAAAATGCATTGTCTATTGCCACATTTCCAAGTCGGAAAGAATGACATTAATTAGCAAGAAACACACGCGCGCTCAGAAATCGTAATGATAATCAATTAAAAATCGCACCCATTCAATTATGCAACATTAATATTTCTAGAATATGGATTTACTGCTGCAAAATGCAAATGAGGTATCGGAGTGACAATTTCTGCGTGATGTACAGTGTCTGCATCTACTGCAGGTGGAAATCTTCACCCTCCTGGCTTTAAGCAGCGTGATTTTATTGGTGTGCACCCCCCGATGCTTGGTGGCGACACGTATAACACGCAAATTGAATGCACCGTAGCCGTTTAGAATATCAGCTGGTGGGAATGGATGAGCCGTCGTTTGATGTAGCTTTCAGGGAGTGGGTCCGTGCCATCGGCCTTCCAGAGAATAGTCCAAAAATAGCAGCGCAGTAATGTAATTTAAAAGTTAAATAAAATCAGGAACCCTTGGAATACAGTATTCAACATTTCACATTTGCTCTACGTTTTTAGTGTGTTTTTTTACGTCGTAATTTTTACGTGATTCTTTAAATATAAGCACATTGAAAGTTATATTTTCAATCACTCGATGTATTATTTATTCACCGAATATATATTTTTACATTTTCATACGTACAGTGCACTTTGTTTTAAAATGTGGGTAGCTGATGCTTGATTCATGTGGTTACAGAATCTGCGATTCATAGAATACGGGGAACTGCGCAGCTGGGTTGGCACTTGTGACACCTGCGCTGTTCGCTAAACAAAGCCTCCCACAAACACAAGCATCCCCCAGCCAAGTTCACCGCAAAGACAAAGATCCCCTGTGCAGTATAGCCATTGCCAGACTGTTGGGGCAAGTTCTGTTAGCGAGCACCCATGAAAGCTGGCACAGTTCACGAGGGGGTGGGTGGTTAACACCACGCCCGGCTGCCTTTGTATCCCGAGTGCCAATGTTTACAGACTCCACCAGGTACTCCTTTAACGCTCAGTCGACTAGTCCCCACCGTTATTGGTCGTGAGCGAGAATCGAACTTGGGTGGCCGGGCTCGTAGGTGCAGTGCACTAACCACTGCACGATCCGCAGCCCATAGGCTCACCACGCACACACACCCAGCTCAAGCTCGAGACACTGCATGCAACCTTAGCCAGAGCACGTGACTATGCGTTGTCAACAAGTGCATGATGTGTTTTCTTACAGCACATTCAATCTATGCGTTCGCAGCGCGTGCTCACGATTACCGTGCGCGCCACGGTTAACTACCTCACCTGGTATTTCGACCCTGACGCCTGCTGTATATTTGGGGTTTGCGTGTCTCTCTCTCCGTGGTTGCGTGGGTTTTTTTCTCCTCTTTCTCCGGGGGTTTCCCTTCGCATTTATAATCAACGTCACGCGTTTAGAGTATTTGGCTGCTATAGATTTCCACGTGATAACCCATTCCGTTGAGCTATCATTTGTGGCCAGATTGCTTCCGAAAAAAAATAACAATAAGCTCGGTGGGCCTTACCTGGTAAAATACAAATACAATGTTTACGTACTTACTGTCTCAAAAGAGATAGAGAGCAGTGAGTGGCGTGAGTGCTATGCAGGGATTGGAGGAAAGGCTGAAATAAATCGAGGTTATTTTGGAAGGATATATTTAGAGAGACGGAGGGGAGGATAATGCGGCGAGAGAGTTTCCCAGTAGCAGGGCCATAACAAAACATCTAAGACCGTGAGAGAGATTTAATGTTCATACATAGGTGAATGGGAATCCGCGGAGGGGCTTTAATCATGTAATGTGGTCCACTCTGCGAATTTGAGTGACAAGCCGAGGTGGTTATATCAAGGTATACATACGTGTGTGTGTGTGCACATTGCACATAAGCCATTCGCGGTTAGCGTTACATAACAAAAGACTGAAATAGAAAACGATCAAATTGTTGAATACCTTATTGTTTTGGACGTTTTATTATTCTTATTATCATCGTAGCAGAGGAACAGCGAAGGCAATCAATGACGTCGGCGCCACACACACACTCTGTGATTCACCCACGCACGAAGATGTAAAACGCAGCACAGATACACGCGTCCACAGCGTCACCTGGAAAACAAACAACTTCGTGTCATTAATTCATGCGCTCTTTCTCCATCTCCTGGCGCTGCTGGGAATTTCTGACATTTGAGTGGCCGTTTGAAGAAGGTCCCGCGGAACTGTGCAGCATTTCGTGCCAGCACGGTCGGCATTGCACCCCCTGGTGCAGGTGCACCGCCTGCACACTTGATGTCTGTGCCAACTGTGCGCACCGCACTTGAGCTGTGGAAAGCACGGATCGATTCACCCTTTCCCAGAAGCTCTCAGCTAAAGGCTGTTCCCTGTTCTTGCTGGCCATTCACCTTGACACGTCATTCATTTCCATCGAGGATGCTTTCTGCAAGAAGGCTGTTAATGCTCTGACAAAGCCAAATCGTTCTCGAGATAATATCCTCATCGCACACCATGTGCTCCTACAATATGATAAAAATAAATAAACTACTCTTGAAGATACTTTGGATACATTCACGAAAAATTGTGCTCCTCGCTAATCTTTGCTCTATCCGTTCTTGACACGCCAGCTCCTCAGGATTTGTAGCAATTTCCGTAGCAATTTAATGCCACGTTTACGAAGCAAATAACTTACCGAGATCCCCTATGTGGCCTTAAACGATGCAGGTTAACGTCTGTGCAACACCGGTCGTATATCGTAAACTTCCTAGCTGCTCTTGACGGAGTGATCAATTGAGTCGACGAAACGCGCTCCATAAATTATAAACAAGCCCACACGCGCATACCATAGCGCAGTCGGTGCCACTGAAACCAAATAAATCACAGGAGGTCAGTGGGGGAGGGGGGAGTGGGGGGGGTAGCCCTGGGCCCCTCCCCTCGGCCTCGTGCAGCAGAGCCCCCCCCCCCCCCAACTCAGCGCCAGCTGAAGATGCTTGGACGAACGCAGCTCCCCCGGCTCACGCTGCATTGCGCGATCTCCAGATGCGATGCACAAACGTCGCGCAATCGGCATTGCACCCTAATGGCCCTGTCACCCGCAAGCCACAGTACTGTTGCTGGACGCGAGTTGACATTCATTGCCCCGTCTCTGTTATTTTTACCCCAGGCATGCGACGTTCCATTGCGTTGGTGCTGATAGCGAGTAAAAGTGTCGCGCACGGGCAAAAGGGGGCACGCCTCACAAGACTCTGCTCTGTGAAGATTCATTCCTCTTTGCGAGGCACCGCAGAGAAATGCCCCTGTGCTGAACCGCGTGTCAGAGACACCATGGACTGCGTTCTGACGGCAGTCTCGTGGGGTGAATCTTCTGTTGTGAGGGTCATCTGGAAGAAGGTTTCCTCTGGGAGAAGCCTCTGTGCGAGGCATCATTGGCAAAGCTCTGTGCTTGGCTATGCCAGCTCTTAGCCCTAACCTTCTTAGCCTTTGGTGTTTAGTTTGTTGTCCTTCCCCCGCACCTCGAATTAGCACGGTTGGCTACGTACGGTGCGAAAGAAGTTCAACACAGATTCTAGATTTGAAGCTTTCGTGACTGCAAGGATTCATAATCTTAGTTTGTTCGGTAAAGTCACGTAGGTAAAAAATGAATTTTTATTTTATTTTATTAATTTTAACTTCATTTTTTACCTACGTGACTTTACCGAAAAAACTAAGAGTATTCAACACAGATACCTACACGGCCTGTCGGTGATGTTGTATATCCAGGCAAACGCGAGCTGTTTCTCTAACCTGCCGGTTAATGTATGCACACAGCTGCCGTTTTCCTTTTGTGCCATGTACAAAGATGGAGATTGGCATGTATTTGGCGCTTAAATGCCGTCACATCTCGAAGTGTCTGATCAAACACGAAGCCACGAAAATAAATCACCCGGACAAGAAAGGGGCAAAGAGAGGCGGATGGGTGGGGGGGAACATCAAGAATATGTAAAGCAACGAACGAGGGACGTGACGAACACGTGGGAGATTGACGATTCCAGCACGCACACGAGGGCACGACAGCCACGGAGCATCCGAGAGAGCGGCTTTGCGTGCTGTTCCCTGTCTGTGCGCTCTGTGTTCACATGCACTCTGTGTGCTCTGTGTTCCCTGTCTGCTCTCTGTGTTCAAGTGTACTGTGTGTGCTCTGTGTTCACATGCACTGTGTGTGCTCTGTGTTCCCTGTCTGCTCTCTGTGTTCAAGTGTACTGTGTGTGCTCTGTGTTCACATGCACTGTGTGTGCTCTGTGTTCCCTGTCTGCTCTCTGTGTTCAAGTGTACTGTGTGTACTCTGTGTTCACATGCACTCTGTATGCTCTGTGTTCCCTGTCTGCTCTCTGTGTTCAAGTGTACTGTGTGTGCTCTGTGTTCACATGCACTGTGTGTGCTCTGTGTTCCCTGTCTGCTCTCTGTGTTCAAGTGTACTGTGTGTGCTCTGTGTTCACATGCACTCTGTGTGCTCTGTGTTCCCTGTCTGCTCTCTGTGTTCAAGTGTACTGTGTGTGCTCTGTGTTCACATGCACTGTGTGTGCTCTGTGTTCCCTGTCTGCTCTCTGTGTTCAAGTGTACTGTGTGTGCTCTGTGTTCACATGCACTCTGTGTGCTCTGTGTTCCCTGTCTGCTCTCTGTGTTCAAGTGTACTGTGTGTGCTCTGTGTTCACATGCACTCTGTGTGCTCTGTGTTCCCTGTCTGCTCTCTGTGTTCAAGTGTACTGTGTGTGCTCTGTGTTCACATGCACTCTGTGTACTCTGTGTTCCCTGTCTGCTCTCTGTGTTCAAGTGTACTGTGTGTGCTCTGTGTACACATGCACTGTGTGTGCTCTGTGTTCCCTGTCTGCTCTCTGTGTTCAAGTGTACTGTGTGTACTCTGTGTTCACATGCACTCTGTGTACTCTGTGTTCCCTGTCTGCTCTCTGTGTTCACGTGCACTCTGTGTTCACGTGCACTGTGTGTGTCCACCCCGTGCGGCACTCTCTTCTCCCGTCTTCTCTCTGCCCTCTCGGTCGCCTTTGTGTGCCGTCCTGCGTTCTCCGCGTTGCGTGCTGCCTGCCTGCCCCGTGCTCAGCTAGCCTCGCCGTGCCACCCCCCCCCCCCGCCCCCCTCTGCTCTGCGCTGCTGGACAAAAAGGCCGTCTGAGCGGAGCATGGAGGACGTGGAGCTCGTGGCCGCCCGCCTCAAGCAGCTGAAGGCCTTCGAGGAGTTCCACCCCAACCTGCTGCAGCAGATCTCGCTGCTGGGATACTACGAGGAGCTGGAGAGGGGCATCACTCGTACGTGCCCGGCGCTCGCCGCACGCTCCATCCTTCTCCGTCCGGGCCAGGGGTGGGGAACCTTTTGTCTGCCAAGGGCCATTTGGATATTTATAACATCATTCGCGGGCCATACAAAATTATCAACTTCAAAATTCGCCCGTTATATTCGGTCAAACATTTAATTGACTCGCCCCTGATGCGATGGGCTGGAACTGCTTCTCTTTGGCGAGCGCTGTGATGTTAGCTGGCTATTGATGATGTTGCTGCTACTCGCAACTGCTTTTCCAGGATTGCTCCTAGATTTGTTGACTTTCGAGTCCCGCCTGCGGTTGCCTTGGCAGGGCCACACCAAATGATTTCGCGGGCCTTATACGGCCCGCGGGCCGGACGTTCCCCACCCCTGGTTTAGGCCAATGCTGGAGTGGACCATCCGGCATCGCATGGGCCCAGCTTGCTCGCACTTTCTCACTCCACGTTCTTCTATTCTGTGCCTCTTTCTCTCTCGTCCTGCAACACGTCAACGATCTCTCTACAGGGTCGCCCAGATGTCTTGTGACACCCCTCATCCGCCATTTAATGATCTCAAACTTAATACGTTTTAAAGTAAGGTTTATTTAAACTCGACCGCCCTGTTCACTTACCATTCACACTGCTCACATTCCAACCATCACATTTCAGTGCCACTTCCTTGCGCTCTCTCCTCGCCTGGCACTTTCTTCTTTTTCAGTAACGGCACCTGCATTCCCCCTTCGCTCGCCTCCCACAACAGGGTTGCTGCTGCATGTCTCTTAAAGGGGTTGCTCTACCCCCCCCCCCCCCCCCCCCCCCACTGGTATACAGGAGGTCGTGGGTTCGATCCCAACCTTGACACCTGGTTATTTGGAGGTTGTGTGCTCTCCCTCTCTCTCTCCCCCCGTGGTCGTGTGGATATTTCTCCGGGTCCTCCGCTTTTTATCCTTCACATTCAGAATGAACTTCACGCGTTTAGAGAATTTGACTCTGATACATTTCCACACGACGATAATCCACTTTTTGGGGGATGAATTCGTGATAGCCAAGTCGCGTCTGAAAAGGAGCTGTTATGGCTCCGTGGGCCATACCTGGTAAAATAAAAATACAACTGTTAAATATCAAAAACACAGTGAGAATCACTGCTTTACTAAACGTGAGTTTCATTATTTATAAGACCTCCCCCCCCCCTCCCAACAAAAGGAGCCACGTTCGCCGTGATTGTTGCTGCGTTTGCTCTGCCCCGTTGCTTTACGTCCGTCCAACTGTTCACCTTCGCCGCGCAGTCTTCCGCCAGGGAGACATCGGTACCAGCTGGTACGCCGTGCTGTCTGGCTCCCTCGACGTCAAGGTGTCGGCCACAGGAAGCCACCAGGTAACGCCGCCTCCTCCTCCTCCTCCGCTGTTTGTTGCATTGTCATTTAATTCGCCAAACAATCACGTTTACAGGAGAAGCGTGAATGGCCGCCTATCGCTGTGTAACTCGACGACGCGACGTTCACGCAACGTGGTTTTTGCCCCCCGAATTGAATTACATTCCGCAAAAGTTGCGTTTTAGACATTCGGTGAAACGCGTGGACCTCGCGCTGTTGCTGTTCACCGCTCGAAGCGGCTCTCCACGTTGTGCTCAACGATTCTCAGGAGCGCCCACAAAGGGGCTGCCGCCGCTGGGAGCCTCCGACAAATGTCAGGCAGCAAAGATGAGCAGCGCTGGCTGAGGGAGAGCCCAGACCCACGGAGGTCGCCGTTTACCGATAGAAACTCTCTTCACCGGCCGGAGTAAACCGTTACGACAGAACACGATATTCAGCGATGACCGGGCGTTTTTCCACTAAGCGGTTCCGTACTGTGCAATGACAATGACGTGTTCAAGTGGCCATATGGTGTGTGTTTACAGCCAGAGATACGGCTGCGAGCGGTACCTATTGCTCTGCGTGCTGTTGTTATACGCACAGGGCTCTGTAAACACACACACACACGGGTTCCAAAGGACGGGGATGACGTTAGCAGCATCAGCAGCAGTGAGTGCGTGGTCGCGGGGTTGAGTTAAAAATTCTGTTTGGTTCATTAACGCGCCCCCAGACTCGCGTGCGAACAGCGGCCAAGTGTAAACAACCACAGCAGGGACACAAAGCATCTCGAGCGAAATGATGAAGAAATCGGCACGGTTTTACACTCGGTCAATGGGCGTGTAAAATAAATAAGCACGCATCAAGGTCTGGCTTCTCGTCGCAAGGGAAAGAAGAACAGACAAATAATGAGTGCAAGGAAAGTGTCCTGTCTGTACGGCAGCAGCAGTAGAAGCAGCATCACCAACGCGGTTTGTTTGTTCCTACATGTGACAGCGTAACTTTTAGAGTAGGTTTTTTTCGTTAAAAGAAAAACCACCCTAATCGAATGCCGGATCAAGTTAAACATGCGCACGAGGCCTACGTCATTCCCTTCAAACGACAGAGATGAGGCGACACGCCACCCAGCAATGCCTGGGCACGATGGTCTCACAGGCGGCCTGCGCTCGCTTTCCGTCACAAAGATAAAGACAAAGATCCCCCGTATAGCCTTAACAGACTGTAGGGGCAAGTGCTGTTAACGAGCACCTATGAAGGCCGGAACAGTACACGAGTGGGTGGGTGGCCAGCACCACGCCCGACCGCCTTTGTCTCCCTAGCGGCGATGTTTACACACCGCACCAGGTACTCATTTGAGGCTGAGTCGACCTAGGGGAGGCCCAGGACCGGTTCAGATAAAATCGTCACTGGTGTTTGCCGTGAGCGGGAATCGAACCCGGGTCGGCAAGTTCGTAGTGCAGCGCGCTAACCGCTACACCACCGCTCCCCGTCACGGGCACACATTCACGGACGCAGGCAGAAGCGGTCCGTGAACGCGGACGCGTCGCCAACCCCACGGTGTGTGCGCGCGAGACCAGTGCAGAAGGGTGCTGCTGTAGCCGACTCGGTCAAGAGGGTTTGAAGGAAAAAAACAAAGGGGGGAGGGAAAAAAATCACTATCAGCAGCATCAACGCCAGCAGCAGCATCAACGCCACAAATCCCATCGAGCGGACGAAGCGGCAATTCTTTGCGCACCTTGCGGCCGATGCTTCCGCTCAACGGCTGGACTCTCGTCCCAGCAGCGTGCAGGAAAATGCCGCCGCCACCGCCGCCGCCGCTGCTGCTGCTGCTCGCTGTTTTCGGCGGTCATCATCGTTCGCGATGGACGAGCCGGAGAAGATGCGCGTGAACCCCGAGCGATCCGCACGAGCGCCGCTTGCCCGCATGCCGCATGCCCCGCGCCGAAGGAGATGAATGATAGACAGGGCCACGTTACTGCGTGGCGGGGCTGTCACAGCGTGCGGTAGGGGGCATTGAAATAAAAAGCAAAAGGTGTCACAATGCATCGTGATGTACTTTGCCTGCAGGCTCGGGGCGTGGGCGGCGGGGTGGGGGGCTGCATTCATTCTCTCTGAAGTCAGAAATTACCGCGTCAAAAACCGGGGGGTGTGTTTTTCACTCCATCCTTCAGTGACCCGAGGAAAGAAAAAAAGCAAGCTCTATTAAATGTCTTCTAAGGCGATTACGGGCTCCCAACATGACAGCTTTGGCATTTTGAGGCTGTTTCAGCAGAGCAATCTACATTTCGGTTCTGGCGACGGAAATTACTCTGCTGCAAATGTAGGCTTTGGTTGCTGCGACAGCTCCAGGCTATCACGTGATCCAGGCCAGGTTTGCACGTTCCCCAATGGCAGGTGTAGTCTGCACAGACAATTAGCAGGTTAGCTCCGCTCTGTTCCAGCATGAGAACAGCTCTGCCGTTATCGATCGTGAACAAATGTGGCTTCAATTAGTGTAGCATTAAAACCATTGTTTTTAATTATATTTGTAAGGTAACACATTTACAAAAGTAATATAACGTAAAATTAGTAAAAAAATATATATTATTTGGTTCTTTCGGTAAAGTCACGTAGATAGAAAAATAATACAAAAAGAAGGTGAATACAAATATGAATAAAATAAAAATCCCCACTAATGCAATAAAAATTAAATACAAATAGAAACAAAAACCACAACGTTTTGATCGCAACACAAGCGGTCGTCCTCAGGAAAAGGAGGGTTAGCTCTCTAAAGGCGAACTGTTTATAAAGGTTTAGAGATGGGCGTAGCCCAAGTGTGTCAGCAGCATGGGCGAGACAGCTCATGTTAATGTGGGAGAAAACAACGACACCGGCAGGAGGTCTACACCAATCAAAGGGCGGCCAGGCAATACAAAATTATTGATCAATTATATATTTTCAAGTGCATTACCTTGTCAAGTAAATATTTTGCCATTGCAGACTCCCTCTAAACACAGAGATATCCGTTCACACGTGGATTTGACAGCTCTGCTTGTGCCAGACGCCAATCAGCCTGAGCTCCAACGTTCGCCCGTTCACCAGGACAGCTGCTGCTCTGTGCGTGGTCACAGGCTGCTGCTGCTGCTGCTCTGTGCGTGGTCACAGGGTGCTGCTGCTGCTACTGCTGCTACTCTGTGCGTGGTCACAGGGTGCTACTGCTGCTACTCTGTGCGTGGTCACAGGGTGCTGCTGCTGCTACTCTGTGCGTGGTCACAGGGTGCTGCTGCTGCTACTCTGTGCGTGGTCACAGGGTGCTGCTGCTGCTACTCTGTGCGTGGTCACAGGGTGCTGCTCCTGCTGCTGCTCTGTGCGTGGTCACAGGGTGCTGCTCCTGCTGCTACTCTGTGCGTGGTCACAGGGTGCTCCTGCTGCTGCTCTGTGCGTGGTCACAGGGTGCTGCTCCTGCTGCTGCTCTGTGCGTGGTCACAGGGTGCTGCTGCTGCTCTGTGCGTGGTCACAGGGTACTGCTGCCGCTGCTGCTACTCTATTCATGGCCACGTGGTGCTGCTGCTACTCTGTGCGTGCCCACGGAGTGCTGCCGCTGTGCGCTGTGCGCGACGCACGCGCATTTGGCGGGGATCTTGGATGGGCAATCCACCATGGGCAGCGAGCTAGGCACAACGCACACAGGTGCTGCTGTTAGGCTGCTGTTAGGCTGCTGCTGCGCTTTCGTTGCCAGCACGCACAGAGCAGCAGTGAAGGACAAGGAATCGTCAAACCGTACGATGCTCCCAAATATAAATACTGTGCTTCCCGCTTTCAATCCGAAGTGACCGGTGCGGTGAAATATGGTCAAATCACCCCCACGGGTTGCGCGGTGTGGGAAGGGCCCTCCTTCACCGAGCAGTGCGATTGAAAAGAGGGAGGCTTTGCGTTGTTTAAGCCTCGTGTTAGTTTCTCCGCGCAGCGGCGGGTCGCGTGAGCCGATGACCGTCGCGCGTTCGGAGCGACAGCCTCCTCACCAAACGCTGTTGCTTCTGCTCGTAGGACTCGGTCACGCTGTGCACGCTGGGCGTGGGCACGGCGTTCGGCGAGTCGATCCTGGACAACACGCCGCGCCATGCCACCATCCTCACGCGCGAGCGCAGCGAGCTCCTGCGCATCGAGCAGAAGGACTTCAGGGCCCTTTGGGAGGTACGTGGCTCGCCTGGTGGGGTGGCGTGGTGGGGGGGGGGGGCATTGTGGTGGGGGTGGGGGGGCCGGCGGTCGGTCAACGCGTCAACATCGAGTCCTATCATCATGTCGTGTGTGTACATTGAACTTCTTTCGCACCGCACGTGCTAATCGGAGGTGCGGGGGAAGGACGAAAAACTAAGCACAAAAAGCAGTTTTGAAGAAGTGAGTATCCAATCGAGATTTAAAAGTGCATCATAGCTCCCAGTGGCTTTCTATTATCGGAAAGAAGAGCGTTCCAGATGGCCGCAGAAGCGCATCTGAAAGCGTGTAATGCGGTGAGCGTCTTTGTTCGGTGTTGAGCCAAAAGTCGCTGCGAAGATATTTTAGGCAGTAGTTGCCAGTTTAGGGGTTTTGTTGCTAGATCTTGTGAATTGTTGGGTTTCCCTCCTGGTAAATTTTTTGATCGATGTCACTAGTCACAGATATAGCGACTTTTGTTAAATGAGGACATGGTGCAGATTTAGCAGTAATTGCAGGCGTGTATTACAGTTCCTGTATCAGTTTACGACATTTGCTGCAATTCTTAGCAAATAGCCTAGTGACATTTAAAACATTTTTGGAAGTTCCATTAATTAGGTTTGTTTGATGGTTTTCCAAAGTTGGCAACACTGGGGGGGGGGGGGGGGGGGCGGTGTGTGTCTGCGGAAAAGAAGAAACAAAAATATTAACATCCTCACCAAGGAAATATAACATTTCAAATAACTAGCGGTGGAGGTCGGCAAAATGTGTGGAGGTTGAAAAGAGGTCCGCACACTCGACAAGGCTGGCAACCGCTGGTCGAGACAAATCTATAATACAGTGGGTTTTTTTGGGTTAAATCGCGTAAATCGACGCGATATAACTAAACAAAAAACCCCTCTGTAATATTGACGATATTGGTCGCGAAAGCGGTCAAAAAACATCAACGACAGCCGCCGTTTGCCACTCGGCGACAGCGACGGTCACCGACTGCTCCCCGTGCCAGGCTGGGTGCGCTTTGAAGGCCCGTCAAGAAGTATCGCGCAAGGCTCCGCTGGGCGTGCACGACTCGTGGGGACGCGGTGGGTCACGTGCACAACTCGTGAGTCGGCGTCACAGCCGCCACTTGGTGGCGCCGGGGACACACAGAGGGGCGCCCGCCTGGCTCCCTCGCTCGTGTCGGGTTCCGGCAAGGGGCAGGGGGCGAGGGGCGAGGGGCGGGGGGCGGGGGACTGGGGGCGAGGGGCGGGGGGTGGGGGGCGGTGTTCGGCTTTGGTGTTGACGCCTAATCTCTCAGAGCCCTCTGTATAGAGGACGTGTATGCTCATATCGCACGGTTGGAGTTTTGTTGGAAATCTCTCGGTCTTTCGTTTATATAAAAAAATTAATGTAGAAATGTGAAGTTTTTAATCTTTGCTCATCCCCAAAAATCCATTGGCTCTTTTATTTGAAGACATGATTGAATACATGCAATTCTGCCAAAGGGAATGCGTCGCTCGCCCTGAGGCTTTTGAAGTGAAGTTTGAGCAACGCTTCTCATTCGGAGTGTACGACTATATTCAATTTTTTTATGATGTCTTCAGAGTCTTAGATGTGGACTCGGTGTTGCATCTTTGACCATCAGTATACAACGCAGCTCAATCTGGCCTCGTGGTCTTTAACACTGAGTGAAAATTTTGCTTTTTTGTGGGATTCTGAAGTTTGTTTTGCAGGTGTACGTTGCGTTACAACCTGACTTTATTGTCTTAAGATAATATTCAAAGTGGTAATAAATACTTAGAAATAATCTTTCGATGTACTTGAAAAGGTTGCTTAGTTTCCTCACCGCTTAACGCAGCAAAATGGTAAACACAGCTGCTGCGTCCGCGTAGAGCGTTTCTACCACTCTAGCAGAGGAGAAAACAATGGAGTGGACCTCGCTAAGCAGCGTGACTCGAGGGGGAAAACGTGAAGCCTTGAACTGACCTCTGCGTTTCTTCGGTCGGCCAATGTTCGTGTTTCCCATCAAGCTCTATAGGGGCTGTTTTATAAAAGTGCAAGGTTAGCCTCAATCCGGAAGGGTGCGAGTGTGTGCGATCGTGTGTGTGTGTGCGCGCCTAGTAGGCATTTAATGGTGACTATTTATGCTAAACGGTGTCAAATATTTAGGGTGTTGGAATCCGCAGCGGTATCCTTATCTCAAGGGGTGAATAGCCCCAGGTGGCACTGAGAACTCTCGTGATTTCCGTCAGGAAATCTGTTCTCAACTGTGGTGTGGAGAGTGCTTAGTTGGTCAGGCGTAGAGCAACATGCTGCTTTTACTTTTTTTCTTCTTCTCCCTAATAATGCTTTACAACGAACGTTGAAGAATGTATACATGAGCTCTGTCCGTCTGTAGGGGGGGGGGGGGGGCGGGGGCACGATTACAATCATAAAGATGATCCAATATGAACAAGACTTAAAGTTGTGTTGCCAGTAGGGACTTCACTCTATTCAAATCCAGCCAAATCGGGCCCCATTAAGGGTGGCCCAAAGCTGAGAGGCGGAAACCGACGTGGAAAGGATTTTGCCAACGGGAGCGCTAAAAGGAAGCGCGCCTCGCCTTCCATCTTCCTCCACTCCCGATGATGTCACGTGCCACGCGACATGACCGCCTTGCTCGACTTGACAAGTAATTGTTCATAACGCGCTACAGAATCCAACCACATGCAAGATTGGTTTTATTCCTTTGTTATTTTTGCACATTCATTCCTGTGTTCAGGTTTTGGGTGTGTGTGCCTCACGTGGCAATTGAGGGGCTCTTGTCACTTGGCAATGTTTGGACGAATTTCGATTTAAAGCTTTCGTGACTGCAGGGATTCATCTTCTTGGTTCTTTCGGGTAAAGTCACGTTGTATACTGATGGTCATTCAGACGCTGTCGCCTCGACAGACCTGGTTTCACCTGAGGACGGCTGCTTGCGTTGTGGCCGAAACGTCGTGAGAATTATTTTATTATGTTTTATTTTTATTATTTTATTACTTCCCTTCTACGTGACTTTACCGAAAGAACCAAGAAGATGAATGTTTGGATGATGCCGCAGTTTTTTGCCTGGCGTTGCGATATTGTGTTGCGCTCCATCCTGCTCCGTTTCGTTCACGTGCGTGTTTCCGGCGATAACCCGAGAGGTGAGGCCGAGGAGCCACCTGCACTGTAGACGTCCCCAGCACCTCACAAGTCCCTCCGTGGTGTCGTCACCTTCTCCCCTCCCCCCTGCTGCCACCACCTCTCCCTTATCTGAGTGACCTATTGCAACCAGTCCTGCTTGCCCTCTTTGCTTGACCAACTCTGGCCTCCTCCTCACCTCCTCCTCACCGCACACAGCGTTGGTGTACGGTGCTTTTCTGCAATATTTTTTGCTGTCTTTTCTTGGATTTTCTGTTTGGACATAGTCACATCGTCACTTTAAGATGTTTTCTTGTTCATGTTTTTGTTTCTTGCGGTTGCACCCGATTCAAGAGCCGAATGGCTCACAGGGCTCTACCTAATAAATAAACTTGAACTCACGCCCTCTCCGGCTGACTATCGGTGGCCTTCCCGTTCAGGCACTGCGCTCCCACCCTCTGGAACTCAGTCCCCACTCATCCTCGGCTCTTCTCCTCGCTTCCCACATTAAATTCACAGCTCAAAACTCGTCTGTTGGACCGCGATTTCCACCCTGTCTAGTTTTACCTTTCTCCCGCTCAGTATCCGATGCGTACTCTCCCCGTCGTTGCTGTGCTTTGGGACGTGTGGTTACGTGATTTAGCGCCTTGTAAATGCAAGTTGTTGTTGTTGTTGCTGTACCGTGGATATCCCAGGAGTCTCGCACATCAGTTGCCGGCCCGTTTCACAGTGTCTGTCGATTTTATAATTGGCAGTGATGGCAGCAGGGTTAAACCGCTATGGATTACCATGCAGGTAATGATGCAAATCATGTAAATCCATTTCCACGTTTAGGTGGGAACACCTACCGGTTTTTTTCGGACGGCTTTGCCAATCGAATGTCTGAATGCGCACGGACATACAGTGTCACAAGATTACGCGAGGCCACTGCTGTGTTGTGCGCTCGCTCGCTCGCACGCATTGTGTGCGATTTGGCGGCGGCGGGGGGGGGGGGGTGTTTCCTCCACACTTGCCAAAGTAAACTTCCTCGAGTTTGGAAGCGGGGTGGTGGCAGGCCCGGCCCCGGGCCGGATAAACCTTGTGCTAAATACTTAACCACGCGGCCGCGACGCTTCCAGACGCAGGCCCCCCACGCGATCAGCGCCGGAGTTCGTCCGCAGAGCGCGCGGCAAGACGAACCTCTCTCCATGTTGCGCTGCCTGTCCGAGCTTCTGGCCGTGAGTAGCCACTCTCGCCTTCTAAGGCGGCTTGAGCGACGACGATCGCACGGCAAACTTCGGTCGGAGCCCAGAACATGTTTTTTTTAAACGTTCGATAGGTGGCCAGAGTAACAATAGGTGAGGTGCGTTTTGAAAGGCCGAAATGTTTCGCAAAGGCCGTTTCCCCTCCTCGGAGTTGTTCCATGATTCTACAGCGGAAAGGTTACGCGCAATATTAATAATTTTATCCGATGTATGATTGCGGTCCTTGGTATTTTAATAGATAACACGAATGATTGTTTGCACTAAATGACGTACTGCAACAGTGGCTAAGGTGTCTGATTTGTACAGATTGTAGCTTTAAAGTTGCAGATCACTAGTCGCTACTCGATAATCATGAATCCATCATACACATATATACGCCGTATTTGAAGCGTGTTTTATAGCGAATCAGAAAACTGTGCTGATGGAACGTGTATGTGCACCATGTGCTGTAATCATATTAAGCAGATTTTAAACTATAATCCAGTGCTTAACATTTGAACTCTCTGTTATAAAACCCGCCATGGCATAAAACCTAGCAGGACAAAAAAAAACTGGGTGATTGGGTCAATGGTTGGATTATGCAACGGATGCCAATGCCTATTCTGTGTACCAGATTTCACATCGCATAGCCAT